CCCCGCGCTGTGAACCCCAGCTCGCCTGTCGACTGCGAGAGCCGCCCAGTGCCAGGCCAAGCTGCGCCATGAAGTCGTCACTGGCCTCCCAAGGACGCTACAGTCGCTACGCATCGCTGCCCTGGCTGTGCACAACAGTGCACTACTTGCACCCTTCACCACTCACTTAGATTCTTGGATGCATCATGCCTGTCTGAGACGGCCATCTGTTCCATGCAGCCAGGCACGACGACCTTAAATTGGCTTAACCGCTTCTGCGAAGGCTGCTCCAGACGAGGCTCATGAAACATGTTCTGCCTCCTGCCAGTTGCGACAGCTGCTGCTCCATTGCCTGTCAGGCATTAAATCAAACGACACTGTACGTCGCAGGTCGAGCAGAGTCGGCACATAATCCCTGGCCATTGATGCAAGAGCGACGTGCATCGCAGAATTTTCCTTCCCAAGTCCTGCCTGCAAATACTGGTGCGGACGCCCTGGTGTCTGCGGCTGTGGTCGCGGAGCCTCAGCTTCTAGAGTTTCGCGAAGAAAGCTTTAAGGTTTGATCTTCTGCTAACTCGCTTTGCCACTCTTTGCTCGGCCGTCAGAGGTTATCGCCAAGTCAACCCGATTCTCGCAGCATGCACAGGCCCTTGCACGGACTTGCGGGGGCGGCTGCGTCGGTGGGGGCCCCTCGCAAATTGTGGTATACTTTCTTGAGAGGCAAAAGGTTGCAGTGCTGCCGGCCTCCCGATGGCTGGCAATGCGCATAAAGGCGCGGTCGCGGATCATCTGGGCCTCAACACCCAATTCGAGAGGCCTTTCCAAGAAGCCGTCTGCTCGCAGCGGGCCTCTGCCACCAGCTCGGCAGGTAGAGTTTGCAGCACTTCCTCAGACTTTCAGGTCACAGAAAGAACTCCTGCATTTCACCCTCAGGCTTTCGGCCTCTGGGGCAGTCATCAGGACCTCTTCCCGGAGCATGGGGTCCAACCTGAAACGGGGTTTTTAATTGCAACAAATATGTTTGCGAATCGAGGCCAAGCCCGAGCTGCAGCTGTCTCGCGAAGCACCGGGCGCCGGCTGGGGCCCAGACGATGCTATGAAAGAGGCGTTGTCCATGTCACCACCTGAGTGGGAAATGAAGGGGGTCCGACATCTCAGGGCCGAGCCCTTTGAGATTGGGTGGAGGGTTCAGGAAGTTCAGGCGCTCTCTGAATGTGGGAGAAGCCCTCAAACCGAAACGCTTCGAGCGTTGGGTTGCCGGCTCATGACATTGGCCGCCGCAGGGGCCTCATCGGCCAATGCCATAAGATGCCATAACCACATCAACAAGCCAACAGCTTGGACCACATCCTTCTTGCATGCTCTTCTGGCCTGGCCTGTGGGGCTTGTGCTTGGGTGGCAGCGGCTTCAGTAGCCCGCTGCTGGGCACGCTCCTTGTGACATGCGATCGGGTTAGAAGGAACCCACACCACACCACGAGCCGGGGGCTGATAAAAGGCATCTGAGATGGCATGAGACATTCTCCTGCTCACGCCGCCGCCTTTCCTCCTCTCTCATGACCTGCAAGAGAAAGCATGCTTTGGGAAAGTGCGCAGTCATGGCAACCTTGGCGTTTTCAGAGGAGTCGCGGCCGCCTCTTCTCGGATCTCGGGCGGGAGGGCCTCTAGGACCGAAGCATCGATCTCATCGAAGCCTGGCACATGTCTAAAGTGCGCAAGATGCAACATGCCAGGCAACCTTTCTCCTCCAAGCATTCGCTTCGAAGCCAGCATCCGGTCAGTGAGACAAACGGCCCGAAGCAGCTCTGGAAGCCCCGACTAGCTGGAAACATCCCAACCCGTCCGGCCCAACCCTTCCGGGACTTACCCTGCTTGTGTGTGTGTGTGTCACGGCACAAGGATGAAAGGAACCAACACACCCGCTGATGCAGTACGTGGTCGACATACATGACGCAGCGACGGCAACAGAGTTTCTTGTGCTATCTACTACGCACCTTCAAGCACTGCTACCACTGTTGCCATGACTGTTGCCATTGCGGCCGTGTGTGATACGAGCCGCCCTAGCCTATGGCACTATTGATTTGCCACTATACCGTACTATTGCTCGTAGCTATCACGGCGCGGCCTGCTTCCGGGGCTGGGCCAGTGCCAGCACCCTCTGTCGCGGCTCCACGGGTGCGCAAGTGGTCGACGTTGACCTGTCAAGAGTTGAGGCATGATGATGATTGTGTGGAGATGGCTAGGATGCTCGGAATAGTGCTAGCGATGACGATTCTTGGATGGTAGCGATGCTGATGAGTCCATGCAGTACAATGAATGGGGCTTGGGTGTGCTTCCCCGTCCACTTCCATCAGGCGATCTCATCTTGACTCTGCTGACAAATTTGGCAACCACACTTGGATGGTGCAGCCCACTCAGGCAAAAAGTTGAAATCTTCCCTGCTTGCGGGATCTCATTACCCAAAAAAAGGCTGCAGCGGAAGCAAGCAATCCACACTGGTCTCACTTCAGATCATTGTCAGCAAAATTGCGGACGGCCAGAATTGGCCCGAATGGACCTTGATAGATCACATTGGCTTTTGGTGACGGTTTTCCATCGCCTACCTGCATTCTGCAAATCAACATCAGCCATAATACAGCAGTTTGTCTCATTCACATTGTGTGACCCAGTAGGAGCTTTTGGTGACAGTTCCCTGCCTCCACATTACCCGAATGATCAGCCCTCGCGGCAACAGCTACCCCTGCGGAGGTTAGTTTTACTTTGCTTGGCGAGTGACGGCAGATGGGATACGCACCGATAACGTTCGTTGCTGTACTTGCGGAATTTTGGTGGACACTTCAATGGTGCCAGCTTACCTGCTGTTGCAGTATCGCTTTGTGGATATGCTGCACGCGGCCGAACGGGTCCATGTGGTACATGTGGCTAGTGGGCACTGCAGCCTACTGACTGCAACGCCACTGTGAGTTGAGTGATGACAGCGATGATGCCGATGAGATATCGTGGACGGCGATGCTGCCGTTCATAGTCATTGTCATGGTCAGCGTCAGCATCGGCTTCACACCCATCACCTTCATCTTGATCATCAGAATCATGATCATCTGCGTATGGCCGGAGCTGCGCGATGTTGCGACGGAGGTCGGGCTGCAACAGCACATGTTCAGAGTCCGTCTGGTGGCAGCGTATTGCCACACCCGGCCGGAGGGTTCTAATTCTCCGGCCCGTGCCACAAACTTTTGAAGATGCTTGGGGGTTTTGAGTGTTTGCCAAAGTGGCGAGACCACCTGCTCAAAGTTGCATCTGCCGATGCGACCGGAAGAATGGTGCAACTCAACTAGCCAATCTGGCGGTCCCAGAGCATTCTGCCAGTTTTTAGATTTTAGAGTATGCGCTCCCGTGACCACTTGCAACATCGTCCTCGTTCGAACCAACCGAAATTCTTTTTGATTGTGCGAATGAAGACCATGCATGATAATCTTTCAAGCAGACCGCCCTGGTGTGCTTCGCACTCCGAGTGGCCACCGATGTGCAGATTCTGGCAGCTTCTGACAGGAGTTGTCGCGCAATTCGATCTCTGACAGAAGCTGTTCCACCTTTCGATGGGTGCTGTTTTGCTGTTGCCACGTTCTCGATTCTCTTCACCGTCTTCGAACTATGTACCTTCTGCATACCCGCCGATGAAGCAACACATGGTTTTGTGCGAAAGCAAGTTCATGATTCGTGAGCAGCTTGCTTGTTGCAACTTCTTCGTCAGATATCGCAAGAACAACTGGCTGGCACCGCATCGTGCCCTTGCGTCTGGTGCTTTCTCGATTTTTGATACGGCACCAAGCGTGATTTTAAGCCAATCCATATGCAATCTGCTGCAACCTCCCTCATGGTACCCCTCAGAAACGTGCATGCACGAAACGGAACTTTCGAAAGGCAGGCGACCTGTGACAAGGTCGCCATGACCACCGCTCCACGCATGTCCTCCGAAACAGGCGACAGTGTGTCTCGCAACGGCCACCTGCGTTTTCGCACATTGACAACAGTAGCAGTGCCTCACAGCAAACACTAGCAGTCACTAGCACCTGGTACCGACCTCCAACCGGAAGAATCAGCCTGTAATTAAAGCGATCCGACTCGCGGCATCCTCCGGGAGCTCTGCCACGACGGATGCGTCGATCTCTGCGGCCTGGTCGCAGAGGTTTCGGACGACGGACCCGCAGTGGCTTAGTGTGCAACATGGTGTAATGTAATGCGTCGTGTCCTGCAGAAGGGCCGTCTGCGTGCAGCCGAGGCTGGTCGCCAGCCGCTCAAGCTCGGCCTGAGGACAAGCCAGGCCAAAAAGAATCGACGAGCAAAGCACGAAGCGTCGGAACGCGAAAGTCACAAAAATGCGACGGAACTTGCAGCACTCTTTCTTCATCACCCCTTTCCCAAGGTGCAGGCGATGCCCAAAGCAGCGGCTGGATCCTGGACATTGGTACTCTTGACCCTGCATATCCCCCAACTCAAATCCGCCCAACCTTTAATCCCACTCCGCCAAACTCTAAACCTCAAAAGAGAAAACTCTTTTCCCACGCGTTTTAACGCGCCCTCGTTCGCTTGCGGTCCTCCGCAGCAGGAGGAGCCGCAGCCTCCGTGGCTTCCTCTGCCTTTAATCGCTTGCAGGCCATTGGACCCCCAAGGTGTGTCGTTGGTTCCCCGATTCTCCCACAAACACGTCGGCCTTCTGTGAATAGCTACCCAAAGCTCCCGCCCCATTAGATCGGCTTCGGATTCAAATCGGCTACGCTGGGTCAGAACTACACGAAGGCCATGAAGTTTGTGAGCAGAGACAGTTCGGCATAGTCAACAACAACAGAACTATTTACTGGGCATCCGAGTCAGCCAAATGTGGAGGCATCTCTGGCCGCGCCTCTTGCTGGGGCTCCTCAGCCTGGGACAATGAAGTGTGCGGGGCACTGGCCCATGAAATCTCGCATTGAGCCGTTCTGGGCCTGGACCTCCGCGGGTGCCTCTTCGACCTGCTCTTCAGCCTCCTGGAGCCGACCACGCATCGCTGGAGAAATCATATTGCCGACTGAGATGGACGCGTGAGCGCTTGCTCTCTTCGCCTCTGCGTTCAGTCGGGCCAAGAGCTCCGAAGCTTCATCCACAACGTCTGAAGGCACCTGGCATCACACTGCGAGTGGAATCTCAGGTCTGCTCGACACTAAAGCAACCCTGGATTCTCAGAGGTTTCGCACGTCAGCGACTGGTATTCCTGCAGACGATGTTGACTTACAGTTGCATTGCGCTTGCACCATCGAAGGCCCCTGGCCGCACGCAGGTCTCAATACATCACCCCAAACCGGCAACAGCAATGAGAGGAAGATCGAGTAATAGTCGGCTCAACCTCAACCACCGTCTGCGTCGCTTCTGTTTCTGCCACCTCAGGCAATGTTCTCCATCTGTAGTGTAGGACGGCCTGTGCCATCATCATGCAGCAGACCCGCCACAAACAGTTGAAAGTCCTGCACAGACCACGCATGAATGTCCGGGGCAGCCACGGTTTCACCTGCTGGAAGTGGCAGCTTGGAAAGCAGCCCTATCCACCATGCTAGGATTAAAATGCTCTAACAGCTTTGAGAGATCTCGATTGGCTTCTGGATTCCACGCCCCATGTGACATGTCAAACTTCCTGGCATGTGGCACGCACCAGACTTCCCACCAGACCTTCCGCAGGTGCCGCGGGTGGGTCGGCCGGGGCTGGCGCCTGCAAATCGGCTGCGGTTGGGAGTCCATAGGATTTAGGTAGCCACGAAGTGCAAGGCATTCAGTTGATGGTACACGTCTGAAGCTGAGCAGGCACTCAGAGCCACGGAAATCTTCTGGGCAAACCTCTTCCGCTGCACTCTGTTGGACTGACACAGATGACTCTGGCCTGAGACTCTTGAGGGGTCTCTGTGGCCGGCGCATCCTTGGATTCTGTCGGAGCATTGCGCAGTTCGTCGGACAGCCTTCACACGAAATTGCCATCATTGGAATGCAAGAGTATCACAAAGCCCGTGTTGTGGTCTGCAGATGCATCGCCTTATTTATCAACTCTCATGGAGAAGCTCTAGACCCCATGTGAGAAACTCGGCAGGGTCCTACGTGAGGTCCAGGCCTTCTAGCATCCAAAGAAACCAAGTCGAAATAAAGACCCCTGCAGGTTCGCGCCTGCCCGCCAGCTCGCCGTATGCCATGTCGAGCGATTCGGCGGCAGCAGCTGCAAGCGCACCCCCACCTCCGCTGGGCGGCAGCTCAACATTTCTGCTATTTTCTGCTGATGTTCTGCAAAAAGCAGTTGTTTCGTTTCAGGATGTCTCGGTGGTGGCTCCGCACATGCGCAAGCCTCGGCTAGTTGTTGCAGGCATGGCTGCACCACCGCCGCCCATAGCTGCAGACCTCGTCAAGTCGTCAAGCAGCGTTCAAGCTGGGAACAGTGTCCTTTCGCACAAACCCCTAGAACAGGAGCTTTCCAAAACAGTGGTGGGACGAACTTGCAAGATGGGCTAAGGCGAAAGTATCTGCTGCAGGCAGGAAAGACGGCCGCGTTGGCCGCGTCTCTGTTTCTTTAGCAGAGATCACACCCTGTCATTCTTCGTCTGTTGAGGCAACCGGCGTACTCTTTATGAAGCTCAGCGAACACGTTACATACCGCCCACGTCAATGAACGGTCATGCACGGTCCTTGGGGGGCTGACGGAAGGAGGTTGCTGCTGCCCGTGATCACAATCTGCGCCCCACCCGGGCCGCCAATGACTCCAGCAGCTCCTCCAGTCGGGCCGGAACCTGCGAGCAACGCCGAGCAGGGGAGCTCATTTGCTAAGGCTATAAAGTCTTGCACACTTGCACAATCTTGATAGTTCTGCAGTTTGGGCTGGACACCCGTTGACTCTGACAAGCAGCAGCCCAGCCTGCAAAGATCTGGCGGAAGGCATCCGGTCCGGGAACGAGCTGCACCCTGTGCAGCTGCAGCATTCGGCATTCCGACGCTGGTTTTGGGATTCGCATCTTCGGCAGAAGAGCAATTTAATCTTGGCTGTGCACTGCTGGGCTTGCTTTAACTAATCCGGTCGAAACTGAGCTTCCGGCATTCGACTCATGTCCACAACTCCAGATGCACCCTGAGATGTACGCACGAGTTGCACCAGCCACGCACTGAACACCCGACACACGACAGGCAGTGGCTCTGCTTTGAGTTGGGCGGCGAGTCCATGAAACTTGGCTTTCTGTGCATTCCTGAGAGCCCTGCTGGCATCTGGAAACCAGCCAGCTGCGGCAGTTGCCTGGCAGAGTCGGGCCAAGCGCTTCTTTTCCATCACTCTCTATATATCTCCCTTTCTGAGGCTTTTAGAAGCCTTTTTAAAAACCCATGGCCGGAGCGGCTGCAACGGTTGTGCGTGGCTCTGATGCTCGCGCCGAAGCATGGGATGCTCCCCAGGCAGGTCCAGGTCACCAGGCCTCTGCCATTAGAAATCCATCGTGTCTTGTCTCCTGTATCTTGTTTTCTTTCCTTAGCTAGTTACTTGTCTAGGCATGACTCAGCTGTCATATTCATGTATTTCCTGGCTTGTGTGCAGGCTTGCTTGTTAAGTTATTGATTTGTTTACTTGCAAATCTGAACTGCTTTTTCAAAACTAGCACTCCCGGCACACGACATGAGAATCATACACAGGGCATGATATCAGATCTCCAATAGCGCAACCGCACCAACATCAATCTGAGAGGAAACTGACCAGAACAGTTTCCCCGAGAAGGCCTGTTGGCGTAGCCATCACAGTCTACCAACTCTTCATTTAATTGACAACAGGCCACGCAGTAGGCTACTAGGAGTAAGCAGCAGTTCATTTGGAGGATCCGCCGGGGGCTAGGGCGAAGGACACGGCCAAAAGCCTCATCTTCGTTCTTGACCATGTGTCGCGCAAGTGCTCGAACTTGCAATGATGGTTGTGTTGGCTTTCCTCATACACCCTCCCGTCAGTCCCTTCTCTGTCAATTAGACACCACGAATCATGCGAAACAGTCTGCTTTGAAAGACACTCCTAGCCATACGCCAGCCTGCTGCGAGGTTTTGAGGTGAAAAGCTGGATTTCCGATTTTCTGAAAGTACATGGAAGTGTTCGTGTTCACTCGTAACTTCCGCATTGTTGTCGAACGTGTGGACAGCAAAGCCCCCAGAACGGTAGCTGTTTCCTGGCATGGGACTAACCTCCCTGAGCTGGCCCATCTGGAGCACATCTGACTTACATAATGCGTTGATTGGCTGTGAGGTTGCGACGCCTCCCGTAGTGAAGTTTTAGTCCGAAGTCTGTATCATGGGCATCTTTATCGAGACTCCAAGTACGCTACGATTCCCAGACCGTCAAGCAGCCAAGCAGAGATCCCGGCTCACTCCAGCCAGTGCCCACTGTGACACCGAGGAAGTCCATACCACCCCGACCAACCCGCCTGAGGAATCAGAATCTGGAGAGTTGCGGCTTAGCTCCCTACGTGCCGCAGTGTGTGTGTGTGTGTGCGTGCAATGCCATGACAAGCACGCGTCTGCCTGACCACACAGCACCGTAAAGCAAACAAGAAACCTTGCATAAACTTGTCTTTCAGTTTTCAAGGATGTCAAGCAATAACAGGCCACTTTTGCAACTTGCGCAAAGGTAAACACGTTTCAGAGAGATCCTGAAGATCCTGGCTCAACAGCATCCAACAAGCCCTGTGTACGGGGTTCGCACGGTGGAGCGCGGCGGGGTGGTGCATCTCCGAGGTCCTGCAAACTGGTGGTTGGCTGACTATCCTGGACACTCGGAGGTAAGGACGATAGTTTTGTGAGGCACCCGGTGTCCCAAACCTGAAGCAAGCAGTTAGACAATCCTGCGATGCAGGTTTCCACGTACAGTGCAAGCTACCTAGCTCCAAATACGTCAACACGGCCTACAGCCCAACCCGTGCTTCCCTGCACCAACACAAACAATGACGGCTCAAGGCCTGTTGGACTCAGGTGCGGACTGCACAGGCTCCCTTTCTTTGCACAGGTTGGCCGCTCGGCGCCCGCCTTCTCGATTTGGCAACGTGCGCCTATTCCGGTGAAACTGCACCTGAGTTTCCGCAGTCGGCTTTCAAGACGGCCAAAGGCAGGGGTCTGGTGGCCACGGTCATGCACCGTCACCCTGCATTTGGTCATCGCCCATGGAACACAATCGACCGCGGTCATCAGTCGCTCGGTCATCCTTGCAAGACCGCCTTGCTGCATCTCCAGGTCATCAGCTAATTGGTTCCAGATTGGCAGCCCTTACCCCGAGTATCGCTCCATTGCGTCGTCGCAAATACCATACACCTCTCAAGGCGGCATAATAAGTGAGTCTGCCTTCGATCCCGTTGAGGTGAGCGAATCTTAGCCCTCTCGTGCGCACGTGTTGATTGTTCACAAAGTTGCCAGCTCTCCAACGAAGCATCTTCCGCAGAGACCCGAATACCAAAACCGCAATGGCGAATCTGGTAACGGTTATGTGCTGACACGACATCGCGACCTTCTGGCCGACTGCCGAGGACACTGCAGAAGTGGCAGCACCAGCGCGCCACCGTGTATCTCTGCATTGTTGCGACGAAGCGATCTTATCCTTTTTGAGGTCACGCTTCAGCTCTCGATACTCTTCTCGAGTTGATGCAAGAAATCTCGGAATTGCTTCTCTGCAGGGTCGCTGGAATCTCCCAGCATGTGCTTCGTTGCATTCGCTGATCCGTCAAAGCGGCAGTGGGCCAGCTCGTGCAGCAGTGTAGGGAGCACCTTGGGAAATCTCAAGACGGTGTCCCCAGGGGGAGCACGGATCCTGAGAGCAATGTACTCGGAAACGCGACCTTCCCAATGTCCAAAAAGCAGAATGTGATTGTAGCCCTCTTCGATTCGGGTCTCGATCCCAAACTCAGTCTTCTTTATCTCATACACATACTGAGCATCATGCGGACCCAACTCCTTGAGAGAACCTGTCTTTAGGTGGTATCGCTGCATCAACGCTATCAGAGCTGGGTCATTGCCGAGTTCCATCAATAATTTGTAGGCCCGGTCATCGGCCTCATCCGTCGAGTTCGGCCACGCTTCACTGACGCTTCGTCGGTCCACACGTATGGCAGCTGATAAGCTGTCAGAGCCTGTCCACCAAAATGCCAAAATGCCTGCTGCGAGGATGTCTATCATGGCATGTCCGAGCACACAGTCACTGGGCAAAGATACTTGACACTGATGGGTGCTGCTCGTGCCAGATGGCTGCTCCGGCCCTGGAGTTGTAAAAGTAATCATCGGAGCCGTCCCTTTGGTGGCTGCTGTGAACACTGCTACTGCGACATGTTTCTGAGAAGTGACCAGAAAGGCACTGGAACGGAAACTTCCGCAGTTTCTGCCATCCCTCTTCGAAGCACTCAATTCACGCACCCTGTCCGGCGAAAAGTTCATCTGCATGGCCATCTGGTCAGGGTTGAAGCCTCCGGCAAGGATTGCAGTTTGGAAGTTTTTTCGGGACCACCACCGACCTTGGAATGCTACTTGTACTAGGTGAAGCCTTGGTTTCAATGGTAATTATAGGTAGACACCTGTAGAAACCTTAGACTAGAAGTCATTGCCTGGCTTCGCATCACCCCGTCGCTGAAGTGTTGACGATTGCTGCAGTTGCCGAGCTATGAGCTATGTGCTGCATTGTGCTGCTTCTAGAATCATCAGAACAATCTTTGGACAGTGTCGTCGGACTGTGCCCAACACATCCTCCAAATGGCCATGGCTTTCGTTTCACCCCGGCTGTCGAATCTGCAACTCATGTCTCGCTGTCGTGCTACCTGTTTTTGCGCTTTTCGGGGCACAACATTTAGTCAATGTACTTCGTCTAGTCACCAGTCCATCCCCCTCTTGTGACCGTCGAGCTCAAGAGAGCGAAAACGCCTTGGACTTGCTGATCGATCACATGGATTGCATTGTTCAGGATGGTGGCCTCAACAGATGCAGCCCGGTGTGCGAGCAGGACACTTACCCGGCCCGTGCACGTAAGTCTGGGGCGAGATTGGGTTCGGCCTGAAATCAGGCTCGTGGAATTTTTGGACCACAGTCTGGGAGTGTGGCACGGCCACTCCGAGCATCTAAGGAGCTGGCTCCGTCATCGCCATGCAGGAGGTCGTCGGTGATGATATCATCATCCCCATAGTCCTCGTCCTTTGAGCGGAGGCGTCTCGCGCTGCAAACCGTCTCTGCCAAAGTATGTCCGACCGATGCTGTGCATGGCCATCACCCGCGAAACTGGGAGCCCTGCGAACTCTGCATCATAGTCCTCGTCACCGAAATCTTCCTCAGTAGCATAGACTTGCATAGATGTGTAAGACGCAGGACAGAAACCTCAAAGAGGTGCTTTCTCGTTCACCAGTAAGGGATGCACATGTTCGGGGAGGTGTCCACCCTCCATTCCTGCCATGGCTTCCTGGCTCGGGGTCTCAGTGGAGTTAGTTGAATTTCACGTGTAGCGTTAGTGACAGGGAAAGGGACCGCGCATCGCGGACCTCATCGTCCTCCTCTGCCAAGTCATCGTCATCCTCCTCTTCCTCGTCATCTTCCTGAAATCTCAACTTGTGCGGAATACGATGCGCAAGCAGCAATTCACATCATGAAGATGTGAGTCTGCAGTCAACAAGTTTCAAGTCTTTCCCACACAACAACCTTCCTCGTCATCTCTGTCAAGGTCGTCATGCGCGGCGCCCTGTCAATGGGCTTCGATCTCTTGAGGTCTTGTTCTGCTTCCAGCAGCACAGCCCATGTCATGAATCTTTCTGCACAGTACGGCCGCCAGCCATGGCCCCGGCATCGCCCACACCGAAGTCAGCTGTGAAGTCTTGACCAGGCCCGAGGCCGTCCTCTCCCTGCGTGTCTTTGCACTCCGTCTGATGAGGCTTTGGCCTGTTAAACAGGGTTGTCCCTGAGTGCCTCCAGCAACATGGGCGGTGCCGGCTCCGGCGAAAAGGGCCCCTGGCGACGAAGCTTCGGAGCAGAGGCAGAGGGATCAGAGGGGCCGAGGGGTTCAGAGATGCTCAGAGGCACTGCGCCCGGCCTGGGAGCCTCGGTTCTTCGTCTCCCGTCGCGTCAGGAACTCCAAGCATTTCACGATGCCGGTGGCCACGGCCATGACCACCGAACCTCAACAGAACTCAGAACCCCAACTACGAGAACCTCCCGATGCGCGGAGACCTCCCCCTGAGGCTATGGCATTGCAGATCTGTCCGAAGCAGTATTGCCACCAGGGATTCACGAAGAGCCTTCAGTCCAAGCCCCGGACTTTCACTAAGCTCACATCTGAAGCAGCCCGGAGCCACATTTCATGGGAGACACGCGCCTGTGTCTCACTTTGATTGCAGAAGACGTTCGATTCCTTCTTGCCTGCGTTGCATGACAGCATGTAAAACACGCGAAGAAGGCCCGGTGCAGAAGACCATCCGGCAGATCTGCATAATGAAGCTACAGTCCTCGCTATTTGTACTTGTTGCTGCCGCATCATGAGAACCATCACGAAGTGCAAACACTACACCTGCCATGAGCTGTAAACCCATGGGCCTTTCGTCTTCTTCTGTCCTTGACCTAGCCCAGCGCACACAGGTCACGTGGCCAAGACTGCAAGGATATGGACATCCTGTGGCCGGGCTGCCGGCTGTCTTTGGCATCGGAGGTGCCTGACACGGGCGGTAAGGCACCGAGGAGAGACTGAGGATCTCGGCAGGTCGGCCGCCTGGTCTCGACTCTTCGGCGTCTTCCTTACTCGTATCCTCTTTGCGGTCCACGGCAGCAGCAGCTCCAAGGAGCCTGGCCACAAGGCCGCAGACGGCGGCCACCTCCGTGCCGAAGGAGAGCCGCGCAGGAGAAAAGGACTCGGAGTCGGCTAAGGCCTTGGTGCTGAGAACCACCTCAGAGGCCAGGGCACGGCGTGGTTCAACGGAGAGCCGCGCGGTGGAAGCCAAGGTGGTGGCCAGGTGGGGCATGCATTTCTGCATCGGGATAATGGCCCCCGTGTGGGTCAAATGTAGTTTCTGACTGTTGGTCAGTGGCTGGATCTGCTGTTGCCAGACGTCTGCCAGCTGCGCAAATCGCGGAAGCAAGTGCCGCGTCATAACAAGCAAGAGGCTCTTCTGCGAGAGCCGTTCAGAGCGGTCGGGCACAGCCAAAGATGGCTCAGGTAGGTTACTTGGATTTGTACCCGGAACCGGCAAAGGTGGCTTCATGGCAAGTGCGCTTATGCCCGGCACTCGAGTGACCAAGGCATCGAGGACAAAGAGCAAAGCATTGGAGTCCAAGGCCAAAGGGAAAAGTGGGGGAAGCTTCGAGTTCACAGCACTGTCTTTCTCCTTCTCTGTCTCCTCCTTCTTGTCGCTCTTCTCGGCCTTGTCCTTCTCCTTCTCCTTCTTCTTGTCTCCGGCCTCTGGCTCGGGCCTCTTCGATGCGTCAAAGATCTTCGGGAAGGCGGTGCTGTGCTGGAGCTCGAGATTGAAGCAAATCTCGGACACCAGGGTTTGCAGCATGAGCAGCGCGCCCGCGTGTGGAGCAGGCTTCTGCTTCGACCTGCTGCATGAGCAAGCAGCATGGGGCCATAAGTGCTACGACGATACTAAAGCTAGAAAGCATAGAAGAATCCAAATAAAGCGCCATGTCAACCCGTCAGCCAAGCAGATCTAAAGCTCGGCTTGCCCCAAAAAAAACATGCGCCTGTCTGCTTCCGGCAAGGGCTCCAGAACAATGGAGTTCTGATCTGAAGCCTGTGCCTTCTGAGTAACCGCCTCCAGGGCAACACGAGCAACAGAAATCTGACGTGACATCACGACATGTCCCACGGACAGCCTTGATGGCTTCTCCGAAGATGTCTGGGTTGCGAATGAACAAGTGGTTCAAGCGGCTTGCGATCTCAGCAAAACTCGCGAGTTCACATGCAGCAGACAGCGCAGCAATGCACATGTGCTGCTCAAGCATGTCACGTGAGCTGCAGCAAAAGAGGAGCATCTGGCATCAGCAGAGCCCAGGCTACGTGGTAGGGCCAAAGCCTGCTTGATTGGGAGTGTCTTCACCTCCAAAGCAGAAAACCCAGCTTGCGAGTGTCTTCGTGAGATCTGGCAACCGCAGCCTGCGGAGAGAAGAGGGCCAGGATCTCGTTCTCCATGCGCGCTTGCAGCGTTGAGCCCTCTTCCATGAGGGTCACTGCCAGGTCTGCAATCATCTGCAGCCTTAGATCTCTGCAGCTGTCAGAGTTCTCCTGGGAAGGTCTGAGAGCCGGACATGCCAGTGAAAATCGTCTTCCTCGCCAGGCGCAGCAACAGGATCATGCCGCCGGCCGTCTCCGAGGGAGCCTCAACACAGATAGGCTTCTTTGCAAAGAGAGCTGGGGCCAAGGCATTGGGCTGCCTTCAGCGATTTGCCCTCCTCGTCCAGCGAGAGCTTCGGCTGATACTCGAGGAACGCGTGGGCACCGATCTGGGTGGAACAAAGCCTCCGCCACTCGGGCTTGCTGCTTGTTACATTCAGGATTGGCATTGCATTCCAAAGCAAATCTGTCCTCAGCAGGAGCTGGATACAAGCCAAGGCAAGTCCAGGCTCGAGTCCTGCACGGGTGTGCGACAAGGAATTTGCGCGCCCCCTGGACTCTCCGTCACCACATGCAGCGGTAGGCGTGGTGCAGAATTGCGAGTGGTCATTCGGTCATGCCTTTACATGGCCAAACGTCTTGCACAACAGATCTTACTCCGCTGCACATGGAAAATCCGGGATCCGGGATGGGCAGTACGCATGACAAGGAACATCAACGGATGTTCGGAAGTTAAGATACCCGGACGCATGTGTTTTGCCTGGAAATGCGTAGAGAATATCCAACACCCCGGCGACCCAGCTCTTCTGCACTTCGGCACCTGGCAGAGCAAGAAACAACGGCGGCTGGGAGAGATCACGGAGCCAAAGTTGGGCGTTGGCATGCGGGATGTGCAGGCTGCAGGCTTCCGCAGGCACACGCAGGCATTAAAATGCCGGGTCCACGCAGCGACTCTCGGCCCTGGCGAAGTTGGACCAAGTCCACGGAGATCAGCAGCTGATGCGCGCAGACAGTGACCTGAGCTTGGCTTGCCTTTGAATCGCCAGCGTCGCCAGCGCCTGGCGACGGCCTTGCGGCCTTGAGACCCTCACTGGCGTCAGCCAGGCGGGCGGTGCCAGCAGCTCACCGAGGCCCTCCGGTGCGGGCGCTGCCTAGGCCCAGCGGCCCAGGGCCAAGAGCGGGACAACGACACACCTAAAATGACCTAAAACATTTCAAGATCCTGGCCGATCCCATGCAAAAGGTGCGGTATCCACGAGCCTGCAGCTACAAGCCGAGAATACACGAACATGTCGGGAACTACCAGGAACATCCAGGAACTTACCAGGAGCCAGACAAAGGGTTCCACAGTGGAATCGATGCTTTGCAACGACCTCGCATCACAGCAGCCCAATGCTGTGGCGCCACACATCACCGCGGAGGAATGCTCTGGGCTGCTGGACCACCTGCTGAGCTTGACCAGGAGCGACTCGGCCCCTGCCGGTCCAATCGCAGCAACGACCTGACAGGTACACACGGGTACTCGATGCAGGGACAGACAGGGACAGGCCCCGCAGCAGATCCCTCCTGTCCCTCCTAGCCTGCTGCCGTCGATGCAGTAGGCTTGCCAAGACCTCTTGAGGCTCTCATACGCTGTCATGCACTCACTCCGTGAAGCTGCGCATACTCGCTCGGCAGTCTTCTGCACTCTCCCGCAGCCCTGTGCCTGTGCCACACAAGCCAGCGCATCGGCAGGGGGCTGGTCATCGCTTTCTCCCAGCGCTTCCAGGCACGCCTGTTCATCCAAGCTGGCCAAACAGAACCTTTGGACTTTTCGGATCCGAGCCCATGAGCCTGCACCACCGAGGATGCATTCGCCTCTGGACCGTTTTTGCCGGCCTGCGGGCCCGGTTTTGTTAAGCCAGTCAAGAGCTGGGCGCCGCTTCTTGGCAGCCGGCGGCTTGGTCCCAAAGCTGCGTGGGCACTGCGACCTCAGCGAGCCATGCAACGGAAGGATAGTGAGTGGCCCTCCGAAGCCATGTCGCCTTGGTTGCCACTCTAAGTGGTGGGCAATAAAGGCCATGGCGTCTGCCACCACCGGAATCGCCTGCTGCCGACGCGAGTTGTGAGCACGTTAAGCACTTTTTTTTTCATGTTCGGCCCCCTACCTTCGGAACCTTCCGTCCGAAGAGCAAGATCCTGGGCAGGAGATCCTGGCAAGCGTCGCGAGCTGGCAGCGCAAGCACGCGCGCACACGCACGCGCACAGAGAGAAAGAGAGAGAGAGAGAGAGAGAGAGAGAGAGACAGACAGACAGACAGACACACAGAGACACACACACACACAAGACCTCCTCTTGCTGCAACTGCAGACTAGCAACAGGGGAATAGCTTGAGTGGACTAGCTGCATGAATGAAGTGAATGGAACATTCCGCTCCTTCAGCATGTCTGCCACCAGTTCTTGAAACTCGGCCGCCGTTTTCGCCTTGACTCCTTCCAGACAGTAGCATTTTGCATGGCAGATCGGCAGTCATCACAGCTCCTGGTGGTGCGTTTGGAGGTGGTGCTGCAGTCTCGGCAGCCTGATGGAAATTACTGCAGCATACACACGCGCCATCGCGTGCCATCATGTGCCCACAAGCCCTGCAACGGGGACGGGCCTCCTGTGCCGGGGGGCTTGCGGATGTTGTCTCCTCGCCGGAGGCCTCGGAGCTCCGAGATTCGCCGAGACACGGAGGCACTTGAGAGCGGGCAGAGTGGGCGGGCGTACACAAAGAGTGGGGAGTTGAACACAGCCGATTGCCGAGGACACGGCCATGAGCATGATGAGCGAAGCGATGTCCTGGCAGTGTCGGTTCACAAGTATATAGAGCTTCGGGATGGAAGCAGCACATGAAGATCAACACCAATAGCCTTGATGTGATGCAACGACTGACAACAATCGCACCATGAGCCACTCAGTGCCAGCCGTGGTGTCATGACAGGAAAAAGCCGTGGCTTTCCAGCAAGCCTAGCAGGGCCTTTAGCAATGGCAGGTATGCAGCGGGCTTGGAACCCCACCGGACGTGTGTTGCTGTCCACCTCCTGCAGCCGGCGCCTCATGTGTGACACTTTCCTCCCAGCATCCACTGAAGAGCCTACTTTGGAAAATTGTGGTGGGAGTGAACTGCGGCCTAGCGTTGTGAGCAGTGTAATCTGAGCAGAATTTCGAGACAAGCCGTCGACCGGGAGAATACATGCATTTTGCTCCTGGTACTTGCTTACTGAACTCGCAATGCTGTGGCCGCGACTCCACCTGCTCTCGTGGGAACCCCATGTCCATGAGGGAGGTGACCTCACACTGCCATAAGGCTGACAACACGGACTCTCTCATTGCGGAAATGTCTCTGCAGTATGGCCAACCATGCAGAAAGAGTCCAGGAGCAAGGCCATGCTTTGTCTCGTTGCCTCGTCTGCCCAACGTCCCCTTGTTGTGGCTGTGGAAGCCTTGGCGAAAATTATCGAAAAATGTCAACAAGCACGAGCACAACGGAACCCGAGAGTAACCACATGCACTTCCCTCCATTCACTGCGAGCGGAATTCCTTTGACGCCATCACTAGCTTTCTAAGCCAACCTAGTGGACCTCGCTGCAGCTCGCTGTTCTGCTACAACTGTAACCACTCCATGGCTTCTGGCATTGGTCGCGGCGGGCGCCGTCCCACCAGTTGTGCCGCTGTTCGCAGTGGCCGTTGGGTTGGCTGGCGCAGGCCTGGCACGGAAGAGTGCGCTGGATGCTGCAGAAAGTCATGGTCGAGTCTCCTTCACCAGAGCCGTTGTTCCTGCGAGAACTACTCCATTCCTCATTACCTGTTCACAGCACCGGCGCTAGCATCCGGAGCAGAAGGTCGGACAGGGGATCGCTCTACCGCCCGCTGCGGCATGACTGCTTCAATGCTGCGTTCTACTCAAAGTCTAGGCCAGGACTTAGGCTGGTCCTCGGCGCTGCTATGCATACTACTTTGCAGCTTTCGCAGTCTGCCTTGGCGGAATGTCGCGCGGTCCATCCAACGAGTGCACCCAGACCTTAGCACATGCTTTTCTGCGGCATGCTCACTCCATGATGCAGCCACTCATAACGACGGAGCACGGGGGAGACATGGGGAAGATCTGCAATCACTGCCATCTGCAGGACAACTCCTAAGCTCCCGACCTTCATCAAGGACTGCGCAGCATTTGCAGGGAAGCGGGCCAGCTCTGCGTTGCGCCACACCTGGGCCCCGACCATACAGTGAGAGAGGTTCCTGTCTCTTGGGCGTCAGCTTGTTTAGTGCCCCAGCCATGAATTGTGCTTAAGTGAACCTGTGAAGTCTGCCTGAGCACGACGATCTTCAGCTCCCCGCTGGCAGCATGATCCTTAATGCTTCTGCTTGGACGGACCGACAGAGTGGATCCTGGCACAGCCATGAACATCAGGACATGTCCAAAATTTCCAAACTTTTCTGCCAACAAGAGAGACCCCGATCCGAACGGACCGTCCTTGGGGATGAAGCCGTCCTCTACCTTGAGTAGACCAACCTCTCCGGGATGACAAGCAGCTGATGTATCGTGGCCTAGAGGTCTGCACAAGTGGAGACCGGGTTGCCTGGGGTGCATTGGTGAAGCGTTTGTGCGAAGTCACCTGGCGGTAAATGGCGGGAGAGTCACCCCAAAGCGGACTGCTGTGCGTCTCTTTAGGATTTCAGGCCTTCTCCAAGTAGGCCAGGGCACTGCCCAGGGCTGGCGGTCCTGAAGCCCAGCGGCATGAAATAGGCTAAATGCTGTGCCTGCTGCGCTGCCGCAGGACTCCACTCTGGTTTGCAATGGATGCCGGTGGAGGGTCCGCCGGGGGTTGCTGCCGCAAACCCTCTCCTGCATCCAAATCCAAGTGCTGGCCCACCTTCTGTAGAAGTGGCCTGGAGCTGCAATCTCTTCTGTCAGGCATCCCCATGGCAGCAAGAAAGCGATCCGAAACGAGTGAGCTAATTCACCAACGCAATGGCAAGCAGTGCGGCAAGCAGGTTCGGGGCTCAGGCTCAAGTAGCTCGAAGCCACCCACTTGATAGAAAGCTGAAAGGCTCAGAGGCCGGACCGCCACGCGGTTCCTGGGAGGTCAGCAAGGGTGCATGGAGTGTAAGGATTCCATGTGTGTAGAATGCACCGATGGTAAGGAGGGGGCTGTTCTTCGTGCATACGGAGAAGCAGGTCGAAGATGTCCGAAGTCCAGTGAAGATTTGCGACCTTGGTAAACTGGCGTCTTGGACTGGCCTTGCTGCTAAGCGCGAAGCAGGCAAGACATCGTGAGACGCCGCAGCAGTTTCTGGTTCGTTACTGGAGGTGCTGGAAGAGTTTGCGCAGTTAGAGCATTGCAACGCATAGCCTAGGAGTGTTCCCAGATGTTCCCAACACACAGCACTGTAAGGTCAGAGCTGTGTCGCTGGGGGGAACTGCCGAAACACACGCCTGCATGCATGCACGCACGGCCGTGCCACATATCCAAACATCGCTGCCATCGGTCGCGACTCTCTGTGAAAATGAACTCGGGTTGCATCAGTTGAATCTCTCTCCCTGTTCGGCACGCCTTGGCCACCTCCGCCAGCTCTGTGGCCAGACCGGAAATGGTTGGCCTGGACGCACAGGCATCTTCGAATTGTCAACACTGAAACATCTGTAGACCTCGATCGTCCTATTGAGCAGCACTCTCTGAAGCGGAATGCGTCGCAGCAACCGGGGACCACACGTGACCTCTCGCTGACGAGCCCTGCTGTGCAGCTGCTTAGAGACTACCACGAGGAGCTGCCGCCTTGGCAAACACGTCTGTTCGCCAGCTCAGCTCCCCCAACATAGGCTCAGGTACTCAGATTTTCAGAGCGCTGCCCGCTGAAAGGGGCGCAGCTGCGTCGAAAGATCCGGTTGGGGTCCCCGGCGTCGCATGCGCCGTGAGGCGGAAGCTTTGTCGAGCTGCTTGCAGGAGAGGTTTGTCCTGCACGCGTGAGATTACGAGTCAGGAATGGGAGGGACCCATATTGAACTCTTGCGCAACCGGGCGCAACAGTGAAATCTGCAATTTCGCGTGCACTCCAACGAGGCTCGCCTTCATGGGAAACTCACGCTCTTTCTTCTCTTCCGGCTGCGCCTGACTGCTGTATGCTGTATTCATGATGCTAAGCTTGCAGCTGGTGAGATTTGCAAATCGACTCTTCTGTTTGCTCCAGTTTACTAGGGCACACGCTTCTGAAGATCCAGAGGACGAAGAACCTGCAGATGCACCCTAGTCTATCACCCCTTTGCAGGTACGTAAGGATGCCGCCACATGCACTGCATGAGAGCACAGAGCAGTCGACAAGCCTTCCGATTTAGAGGTAGAGCTCGGGGTGAACAAAGTCTTGATCGTTTCATGATAGCCTGGGCGCTTTACACTTCTCACATGGAAGCCCAGCAGGTGGCTAAGCATGTAACGGCAACTGCTACTCGCCAGTACTCGCCATCACGGCTCCAGAGGGATACTGCTCTCCGGTGTGTGATGCTGCACAATCACCGCAACTCTTTGACGTGCGTGCACGTCGCGAAAGACGCTTGGAGCAAGACTAGTCGTTGCGCTGTTGCGTTCCCGCTCCTTCCAAAGGACTGTCATGATTCCTCTCGTACTGGTTGCGCTACACACAACTCCCGGCCTGCACCTCTGGTGGATACCACGCTGCAAGAGCGAAGATGAAGCCACCCAGCTTCCCCACATGTTTGAGAGGAGCTCGCACTGCCTCGCCAGGGCAGCTGAAACAGCAAGCATTAGCAACAACGCAAGTGTCTTCAGACCCTCGTCACTCTTGGCAACAAGAACATGGGTACTCGCATTTGTCATCCTTCAGTTGTGCTTCACGCTTGTTCCCTCTTTTTCAGGCTCCCCCCCCCCCGACAGCGAAACCCCTTCCACTTCGTCCTCGCGGATTCGTCCGTGCATGATGACCCGCGCATTGCGATCACATGTCATGAACCCTTACCAGACCTGGATCAGTTTTCTCGTTATCCTCTCCTGCCTTGTGTCGGCTCTTGCACACAGAAGCCAGTCATAGTTGCGTTGACTTTGGCGGCTACACTCACTGTCAGTGTATCAGAATCACTCATTTTCATGTCCATCACCATCGCAATAAACATAAAATTTATCAGTGTGTCTCCCCGTAGCATTTCTAGGACTACTGACCACCACCACCGCCGCCCGCCGCCACCGCCACAACCACCGACACGCCCCGCTGCTGGTGCAGCTGCTGCCGCTGTTGCGGCTGCTGCTGTTGCTCCTTCTGCAACTCCGGCTACTGCGAAATCTGTTCTCCTGACCTATAACACCGGCCTCCAGCACTTGCACAGAGCTGCCCTCACGGCACACGGACAGGAGCCCTTCAAGCCTCAGGAGTGAACGAAGCAACAGACGAGTCCAACTACGGATGATGGATGCTCTGAACAGTAGCAATAGTACCAATGACTGCAAAACAATGCTACAGTCGATTCAAAGTCTAGAATCTAGAGTCCTCAGGATTCTTCTGCTGTTTACACATTTGTGGCCAGAAGTCTGGGAACAACAGCTGTTTGCTTTGACTGGGCTCCT